TCCATCGAAACAGGGTTACTTATATCCTATAGATAACAAAGAATTTCCTGCGTGATCTTTACCTTCCACCATAAAACATGTCTTAGCGTCTGTGCATCTCCAATTTTGTAACAGATATAAAACTAACAGTTAAGATGGAACTGCTAAAATCCTGAACCTCCTACTCGACCATACCACCGCGCCGGTTTAATGATCGCTCCGAGAAAACCTTAAAATACGCTGAATATTGTTCGAGCAATAATGTTGGCGATCCATGACACGTTCCACGCAATGTATTTAGAAGTATTCGACAGACGGGTCAACGATCACTTGCATTGCAAAACCGCAATGTACGAGCTATAAATTATGTGAAAACGAGAGGATTCTTTTGTTGGTTTTTCCGTTGTAAAACTGAAATTTAGTTAGTAGTTAATTGAGTTAGTTGTCATTGTAACGGTTTGGTAAGCAATAAAGTTTATTTTCGTCACAAATTCAGTGCATTTCAACTTAGCAGTAATTTTAGAATTTTTTTCGTTATACCCACATTTGAAACAATCGTTTTTTTTTTTTCATTTTGGAAATAAGATACACATTAAAATAACCATATTGTTTGAATTGAATACAAGAAAATGTAGCTGCATGTTTTAGTATTGCGTTCACATTATTTGTAACGAAAATTATCGTTCGTCTCACAAAAACTACACGCGTAGATGACCAAGGGTTTTGCAAGCAACTGCCACTAAAAGTGTCAATACATTTCTGGCCCAACAACAGGCACAGACCACGTCAGATTTAAGACCAAGCGATCAAATTGACATTCTATCTACATAGGTATTTTGAAGCCACGGATCCGGAATTAAGGTACCGTCTGTACAGTACCGATCCTTCCTTCATTTCCTTAGCTCTCCATCTAATTTCTACATGAAGTAGACAGGCCCTACCTTTATCTGCCGTAAAGCAATTTGAGTTCCAGTTTGTGGGGTACTGGTCATTGTGACTTAAGCCCTATATCTAGAGAGGGGCGACGGCTGTCGTTAAAAATATGTAAAACATCAGCTAATCTGCTCATTTAATTATTACAAGCAAATAAAAAAAAATTGAGCAGTATTAAAAATACAATGAAGAGTACTTTCTTCGACAGTGCACATACCAAGATTGTAACGAGGCAGACAAGCATGACCCTAGCGCAAGGATGTCACGCAAAATCGTATAAAATTTGAGTTTCTATTTTTTACTGATGAAAAAGCTTAGGTCAGTACCACAAGTCCGCCTTTATCTGCCACGAAACAGTCAAGCGTTACGGTTTGAAGATTGGGACTTGGATGACGCATTGTGATGTCTAGGACCCCGTCTAACACCAGGTGGACTGTAAGGTCGTTCACAGGGATGGCAAGCGCGCTGATTCCGCCACGCCGAGCTTACCGATCGATTACAATTATAATTATTTTCGACATTAATACGTCATATGACATGTCACCGGAGACGTACGCCAGTAAAAACGGAACTGTATCAATATTCCCGGCGGCGCGGATCCCTCGCGGCCGTCAATTAAAATTCTCGCAATAACTTTTTAATTACACTCATTATAACGTTTCTTTCAATAAAAATAACTTGATTCATCCAATTACTTATGGAGGCGTTGTTGTACGCGATTTTTCATTTTGGCATTTAACGTTGAGCGAACTTTATTGTCTTGACGTACTCACTGTTTTGCGGCTGACTCATGCGTCGCTTGCGGGTGGAGATTGATAAAAAAAAAACTTAGATCTCTTTACCGGACCTATGACGCGACCATGCCATCGGCCATCTTTAAAAAACAATCCACAAATAAAAATTAAACAATTGAACACAGACNTACGCGATTTTTCATTTTGGCATTTAACGTTGAGCGAACTTTATTGTCTTGACGTACTCACTGTTTTGCGGCTGACTCATGCGTCGCTTGCGGGTGGAGATTGATAAAAAAAAAACTTAGATCTCTTTACCGGACCTATGACGCGACCATGCCATCGGCCATCTTTAAAAAACAATCCACAAATAAAAATTAAACAATTGAACACAGACTCTATAGACCTAACGTATTTTTTTAATGCTTAGTTTGTTGGACGAGTTCATAGCCAAACTGGTGTTAGGTGGTTACTGGAGCCCATAGACATCTACAAAGTAAATGCGCTACCCATCTTGAGATATCAGTTCTAAGTTCTATAGTTACAACTGCTGCCCCACCTTTCAAACCGAAATGCATTACTGCTTCCCGGCAGAAATAGGCAGGGTGGTAGTACATTTTCTTGCGAACTCACAAGAGGCCCTTTACCACTGGTCCGTTGCTTATACGTCTAAGAAAAATCACAGCAAATAGCATTGTTTTCGATTTGAATTATCCTTCTAAGCGCCAACGCAGCAGACGAGCGTACACAGCTACACTAACACGACATTGTCTCCGTCTTAGTAAAAATCGATTAATGACCGAATCGATAAGTCAGGAACAGAATCGATACGTCGTTAACGTTCCATGTATTCGCGCAAAAAAATGACACAACTCCCGATTAATGAGCACAAAAAGAACGAACTAATTCGCCGGGTGTCAACGCACCCGGTCTAGTGCGGCGCTAGCGGCCAGTGGCGGGCTCAGTGTCGCAGCCGAGTCGATCGCTCGCCGCCGAGACCCACTATATCAATCACTCGCTCGCTCGCACAATCGTACCGCACGCCACTCAAATAAATTTATAACATTATAAGTACTTTGAAAATAAACACTTTACGGTTTATGATTTATTTCGTGGCGCGATGAATTATGGACGACACTCATTAAACGAGATAGAGAGAGGGACGCCCAAACATAATTTTTTTTTACACAATTTTTTTTTTTATCACCTTCCTTTCGCGATTTCACGTGCTACCGATAAACGTTTTATTATTGTAATTAAAAACGAACGATTAGCTTTCTTGCTCCGTGCATGTCGAAGCGTTTGATAAATGTGACATTTTACAACGTTAGCCCGTAATCGAGGACCGATAATGTTTGGCGCTATCATTCACATGTCAATAATAGTGATTTAGTGACAGGCGCGAGAAGAGCAACGCACTCGAGACGATGGATCGCCGAGGTCAATACATCAGTACGTAAATAATAGAGAGTGGTCAGTACTGGAGCCGTATTATCTACTGTTATCATGACCGGGTCACCGGTGTCGGCAGACTCCACAATATTATGATTGTAAAATTACAATTTAATTTCAATAATTAGTATACAATGAAGTCTCTCGGCGATAACTGTGTTTACAAAAGTGAAATTTAATTTATTTTTTTCTTCTTTTTTTTTGAAATTAAATATTTTTTTATGTTTTTACAACGTCACTTCCGGCGAAACGACTCGTTTGCGAAGCGAAGACGTTCGAACGTGTCATTTTAAATTGCATCCGACCGCAGCCCGTCAGCGCGGCTCGCGACGGTTGTTGTCAAATAAAAGGCATTTTTACGAAAACCCACAAATTGCGGTATTATAAATTTGTAAAATACAAAATTACACGGCCCTCGCACGTCGCTCTGTCGAGATTGCCAGTTTCGTTTAGTCGGATTGTTACGAAATAACTTCATTTGTGTACAATGATAGCCGACGATTTAGCTTGTCATGTTGTTATTACAGGGGAAAACGATAATGGAGTGCTCAAACCAAAACTTTCTATAAAACATTCAAGTTGATAATAATTGTGGTATTCGTTTTATTTGGCCCCACTTAATACTTGGTGGGCTGGACTTGTTTGTTCAACTATAACAATGAAACGTAATCACTAACAGAAGTATTTTCACTCAATGATTATATTTATTGTAATGCAAAAATATTTATAGATTTTTTTCTTAACACCAATAAATATACTCCGGTAATTGCGTGCTTATCTAAAAGAGATCATTACTGATGCTTAGAATTTCCATCTTTGATGTACAAAATAGTATAGTCGATTCTCATACAAGTTGCCTCAAATTAATGTTCCTCTTTAAATTATTCAGATTCTCTTACCGGCAGCCTAGTCCCCGGTCCAACAGTGACTTCCTGTCCTTCTTAGAAACACGGGAGCGTCAGAAAGAAAAGCAAGTATTTTTTGTGACATCCGAGGGCTGGATCGAAAGGACTTTTGTTTCTCTTTTAGCCAACCGCCATTATTCATTCGGAAACCCAAAGTTTTGTTTTATCACACTCTCTAGATACTTCTTCTTGACGGTTTTTTGTGAATAGCATTTGAGGTTAATAGAATCAGTTGAAATTTAACGAGAAACATAAACATTGTATATCGTCAAGTCAATAGAACAATTTTTTTTTATTATATTGTACTTTTGACATAGAAAAGGTTCAATTCACTAAAATAATCACGAAAAGAAACCAATATCGCGTACACTGTTATCGATAAAATCGATTTGTGTCAAATCGATTAATCGTGAGAATTAATTAACAGCGCACCGAACGCGAATTATATCGATTCGGGAATCAGTACCGTGAACAATTGTTACGGAACGAAAGACCAAGTCAACGGAACTAATTCTCGTTTCGTAGTTATTAAACTATTATAAAAAAAACCTACACAAACATTGTTTGTTATTTACGCTTCTTTATTTGAAAATTTATTCGAACTTTCATAGTTTTATTTCCGGTCAAGTTTGCGTACTTTGATTTCGCGCCATTAATTTGACGCCATTTTCATAATCATGGTCATCTAAGCAGTAAAATATTTTAAATTGTGTAATTTAATATTTTAGTCATTTCCTTACTACTGGGTTACTATATTGAATATTGTTTCTATTTTTCTTTTTTCTGCTTATAGAGAATTTTGTGTGAGACTGTTCATCATTTGAACATTTTATTAAGTTACATATATAATTAAGCGCGCACTTATTGGAATGTTTTTAAAAGTAACGAATGCTCGTTTTTTTTTTTTAATTCTTCGACAAATTTGATTTTTTTTCCAAAATAGAAAGAGGAATTGAATAGAATATATTATATGGCAATAAATCGTTTTGAAACATACCTGTTTGCTGAATACCGCAATGTCTTCGTTGAAAGACTCCGAGGAGCACACGTCTCCGCCCGCCACGCCAGGGTCTCGGGGGGTACAGGTCGCTAGCTCACACTTTTCGAAGATCAGAGCCAGCAGGGGGAACAGGGGATGCCTGGAAAATGACAATAAGTTACATAATTTCTTATAACCTGCCACTCGCTGTATTAACAAGATTCTAGAAAAATCTCTTATCTGGCGTAAAGATAACAAGCGTTCTATTCTGAGATTTCGGCCTAGTGTATCCAAAGTCTAGACCAGCCAAGTACCCATCTGTCGCGCTGTAAATCCTAAATGAGAACAAGATTATGAACTGGCAATACTGAACTGTCAACACTGTCCTTTTTAACCTTAACTAAACTTTTTTTTTTTTAATGCCCTTGTACGCAGACGATCATACGGCCCACCTGATGGTGAGTGGTTACCGTCGCCCATGGACTTCGGCAATGCCAGAGGCAGAGCCTAGCCGCTGCCTACTTTATTTACTATTAATTTACTAATTTTATTTATAATAACTTTAATAATTTACTATTAATTGTTCAACCTGTGTGTCAAAATGCGCAAATATGGGACAACGAAACGAATTCGCTGGACGTGGCTTCTTGGGTTGTCCCAAAAAGCGCTTTGGGGTCCCAGTAAATTCTCACCGAGACATTATTTTATTTCGTCTCATCTCGCTTCGTTCAATTACGTCTCTGGATCAATTTCAGATAAATTAACATCATTCCATTCCGCTCCAATTCATCTTTTCAATACCAAAGTATGTAGTAAGAAGATTTGGTTATAGGACTAGAAACACATGAAAACTGTCTCAAATCACGGATTTCAATTCCTAACTAAGATATCGTCGTTGTCAAACCAAAATCTGCTATGTGCATTTTTTGAGATTTTTACTTTTTGACCTTTTCGTATAGTTCACAGCCCTACCTATCTACCGTATAAAAAAACTGATATGTGTCTATAGCTTTAATATTTATCTATAGCTTTCATTTGATATAATTCTTAAAAATTCACTTTCATATAAAATTTTACACGAATGTTTTTACTCGTTAATTCAAAATAGAGTTTTTGCACATAGCAGATTTTGGTTTGTCAGCGACGGTATGTCACTAACTATATATTATTATGTATAGTGCACGGAAATTAGATATGACAAAACGCAAGCAAGCAAAATGTCTTCAACACAAAAGGGCCACAGCGCTGCGTTTATCAACCATGGTCACCGTCCTCGTCGAACCCGTCGCTTGCGACGAAGGGCTCGACGACTAAATTAGCCTATAGACACAGCCTACTAAGTTTCTCGCCGAATCTTCTCAGTGGGTCGCGTTTCCGATCCGGTGGTAGATTCTGCGAATCTTGCTAGGGCCAGTGTTAGCAACACTCCCAGCTTAAGCCCCGTGAGCTCACTTATACGTCAAGGCGAAGCTGAAATAGCCTCTCAAGGCTATCAGCATAGGTAGGTGGGAAAAAAAGTTAATCTACCCGCTAATCACTTGGAAATACATTATTGTACTATTTATATGATTATGAGGGTAATAAAAGAAAAACCGAGGCGTGAACCGAGATGGATCGCGGTACAGTTGTCGATCGTCGCGACGTGATCCAGATACGATCTTAAGAGATCTAGATAGATGTACGGTTCCACTTGTAGCGATTTAGACTTTGAATAGCATTAGCTGAGCCACCGCCTTTTGCCTTTTTTTTCTTTTCTTTTATTTATATTGTGTTATATTTAGTGTGAAAGGCAATAAATGATTTTATTTTACTGGTGGTAGGACCTCTTGTGAGTCCGCGCGGGTAGGTACCACCACCCTGCCTATTTCTGCCGTAAAGCAGTAATGCGTTTCGGTTTGAAGGATGGGGCAGCTGTTGTAACTATACGTGAGACTTTAGAACTTATATCTCAAGGTGGGTGGCGCATTTACGTTGGGGATGTCTATGGGCTCCAGTAACCTCTAACACCAGGTGGGCTGTGAGCTCGTCCTTCCCAACTAAGCAATAAAAAATATATATATATGGAAACCAACTCGACCAGTCTTCATAGAACTTCGACAACCGACAAACAACAAACATGCGACCCGACAAAGCAATTGAAATCGACCAGCGAAACATTTACACAAAACTACGTAATTACATACGTTCTAATCAAATATAAAGAGCGCCTACGAACCGTAAAATGTCGTTGGCTTTATTAAAATCGTTAGTTATTTGTATTACAAGTTTAATTACATTTTAATGGCGTTTATAAAAGTAATTACGGGGCTTTTTTGCGAGACGTTTTACAAACCGTATTCAAAGTCATCGGTTGAGGGCTCTCTTTTTATCTATGTCGCACTGTAATTAAGTCAGTCTAGTGTGAAGCTTTCATTTCCTGAGCTTTATGCGATAGTTTTAACATTAAAATCTATTGGGTACGAATGTGGTTCTAATATTGGAAGATCGGCTGCGTCATTTAAATGAGCTTAAGCAGAAGCACTTTATAAGCTGCTGTCCATGTCATGGATAATACCTATACTAAAATCATTAACCGTCAATAATGAGCAGTCATTATATTTTCAAATTACTTATACATATAGATATAATGGTAGGCAGCGGCTTAGCTCTACCCCTGGCATTGCTGAAGTCCATGGGCGATGGTAACCACCATCAGGTGGGCCGTATGCTCGTCTGCCTACACGGGCAATAAAGACAAAATTTTCCTGTAATGTCATTAGTAAAATAAGATTGTGAAGAAAAAATGCAGAGATTCGAGCATGTTGCTTCTTTATTGAGAGGCACGTACAACCCTGCTGAACTAATATGATATATAAGTCCCAACAAAATCTAGTTTGTGTTCGTTGAATTTAGAACCTTAAAACTTGCCGACAAGCATCAAATTAAGTCACACGAACAACGGTTGTCGCGAAAACTGCGAATTTAATTAAGAGGCGAAGTAAAACCACCGGGAACACACTGCCATACTATTTCATTTTCCATAAATACTACCCTAAGCCGGTTTTAGACTATTTCGATGTTCAGTATAACTTAATTACCTAAACTTAAACTTATGTACTTACTCTAAACTTAATTATTGCAAACAGTATTAGCTCAATTTACGTTTACAACAAACTATAGTTCGATTAATGCGATTTAAGTGATTCCTCTTCATAATCTTTCTCATTTATTATCCATGGTCTTTATCTAGCCGAACATTAGGCTCCGAATTCCCACGAATTCACTGGTGGTAGGACCTCTTGTGAGTCCGGACGGGTAGGCACCACTGCCCTGCCTATTTCCGCCGTGAAGCAGTAATGCGTTTCGGTTCGAAGGGTGGGGTAGCTGTTGTAACTATACTGAGACCTTAGAACTTATATCTCAAAGTGGGTGGCGCATTTACGTTGTAGATGTCTATGGGCTCCAGTAACCACTTAACATCAGGTCGGCTGTGAGCTCGTCCATACATCTAAGCAATAATAAAAAAAAAAAAACGTTGGAACTAATTTGCTCACTTTTACGAATATAATTTTGAAACGTTTAGCGATTCCATAAGCGCACCGCACCCGCTGTTATTGTGACCCCAAAGCGCGGTAGCTAAGCGGTTCCTTGACGAGTTTTGATCAGATACGGCCCAGATTGCGGTAAGTGCTGACTCGAGTGCCAAAGGTCGCGTCACGATTACATCTTTTTAGTGAATAAGTTTGTGTGTCCCTACATTTTGAACGGCGTACTTGGAGCTTTTATTTATTTAATGGAAATGATATGTTCTTTAAATATAAGTAAGGTGTGCTAACGATTCCTTCTTTAGGATATTGTAGATTTAAGAGTGTTCGCTCATGCTTTTATATTCCATAGGAAGATTGACGGGGTCACGGCTAATGATTAACAGTTACCAGGGTACGTAGATATCTGACAAGAATCCAAACTCCTCACCACCACCCCCGGACATATAAAGCCAAAGACTATTGTAATACAGAACGGTTTTATCAAGATTCAAACCAAAACACATCGCTAATTCGCGGCAGAAATATGCAGGATTGTTATAAGTGTACTTTATTTATATAACACTATGTAATCGTTAAGTCGTTAATGTATATATGTTAGTTATATAAGTGATTAAAAGTATCGGTAACTGTCTAAATGCTTTGAACCTAAGCACATTCGCATCACTAGACACGAGGCGTCTTATCCTTTAGGTCACGACGACTTTGTGACATTTAAATACTTAATTCATATTATGTATATATTAATACGTGAAGCAAAAACTTTGTATCCCTTTTTACGAAAATTGCGCGGACGGAGAGGTATGAAATTTTCCACACTTATAGAGAATATAGAAAAGAAGTGCACAATGCTAATATTTTTTTTTAATAATGCCTAAAAGATACATTAAATCAATAAAGAAAACGTTACACACACTACATACCATGTATTTGACGCACACACGCATGCATACTATTTATTGTCAAACTTTTGTTCTTGACGTCTGTTGTCAAATTGAGATTAAATATTGTTTGTCTTTGTGAATATTTTTTATAGTGTAGTCTTGGCGAAATTTGTGATTATAGAAGTATAAAATACAATCATAATAGTGTACAAACTTACAATTCCAATTAATTATAGTCGAATTTCGGCTACTGCGGGACCTCTAGTGAAAGTAATTATTCGAATGAAGCTAACGTATGAAATATTACGTTACTTCGTCAAAACAAATACACGTTACAATTATTATTAAAAATTATTTTAATCCGATAAGAGGCGCGTATAATTAGTTTACAGTAATAAGCTTGCACCCATTAATACCACTGATAATTAATTCAATTTAGTTAATCGCGAAGGACGGTGAATACAATAAAGTAAAACTTTTTTTTATTTATTGCCTAGATGTGTGGACGAGCTCACCTGGTGTTAAGCGACTACTGGAGCCCATAGATATCTACAACGTAAATGCGCCACCCACCTTGAGATATAAGTTCTAAGGTCTCAGTATAGTTACAACGGCTGTCCCCGCCCTTCAAACCGAAACGCATTACTGCTTCACGACAGAAAGAGGCAGGGTGGTGGTACCTACCCGCGCGGACTCACAAGAGGTCCTACCACCAGTAAAACGTAGTGTTTAAGTACAAATTCAAACTTTTCGGGTTATTTCACGATTTGGAGACTTGGTTAGAGCTGGAGGTATTTTGCATAACACGCTTCATGGTATTTCGAAGGCTCGAAAACATTTTGCGTGGTCACAGGAGACATCATTTTTATCACTGACCGTCCTAATTCCATCAGCCCCTCCGATGTAACTATTACTTTTAGATCGACAATAAAATACACGAATTTATTAAGACTACGGAAAATAACCTTCTCTGAAATGGCAAAAACAATTCTACAATGCGCAAATCAATTCAAAGATGCTCACGCATAGATCCCAAACGAACAAACAGACGAATGTTCATTAATATTAAACTCCGACGATGTTATTTCTACTGGTGGTAGGATCTCTTGTGAGTCCGGACGGGTAGGTACCATCGCCCTGCCTATTTCTGCCGTGAAGCAGTAATGCGTTTCGGTTTGAAGGGCGGGGCAGCCGTTATAACTATACTGCGAGCTTAGAACTTATATCTCAAGGTGGGTGGCACATTTACGTTGTAGATTTCTATGGGCTCCAGTAACCACTTAACATCAGGTGAGCTGTGAGCTCGTCCACCCATCTAAGCAATAAAAATAATAATTATGAAATTAAAAATAAATGGTCCAAAAGCGAGACTCGATTGTAAATGAAGTAATTTGATGTGGTAGTACGTAAACGATGCATTATCTGTGGATGATAAACCAATTTTTTTATTCGATTAGATCGATAAGATGATTGACTTAGAATTATAATTTTATAATGATATCGATAACACTCCACATGAACTGTGCTAGTTACATATTTACCGAGAAAGTGTATTTTTGGTTTACTTTTATTTTAGTCTGTAAATCAATCTGAAATAGGATGTTTTTTTTTGGCTTAAAACTTTAAATCTATTTTCAGCGGCAAGCAGACATTTTATGGTAAGAAGTTACTTTTAGTCTGGACTTATATTGTACGTCTGGTCGCCAAATTTTTGGGATTAGCGCGCTTTCTTTGCCTGCAGACACGAACTTGCAAAATGCGCATATTATACTACAGGAATACTCTGGAAGAAAAGAATAGAATGCGACATTTTTGTCTTTTTCCTAAATCATAAAATCAACATAGAAAGGAAGAAAGAGAAACAGTTCCTCTCTATGGCGCGTTGCAATGGATATACTACTCCAGATCCAAAGCAAGGAGTGGTGGTGTCTGGCAGATCACTATACAGCATGCTGAGAGGACATACTGCGCCAAACTCACATAAGGGCGAAAGGAAAAAATGGAGCATTCTGAACGGTAAACCAATGTACAATTCAGTTAATGTCTTATGTCCCTTATTAATATTTTTAACTTGAATAAGTTCATAAACCTCCGAGTATTAATACGCTTTTGTTAGCTTCCTCGTATGTATGTTAGTATGTAACGGAATCTTTGAACATGATTTTGACCCCCTTCAAAATATCGTATTAACTCGAAATTTGGTATACATACTAAGGACCGATGACAATACAATATTTAAAAAATTGAAATTCAACTAAAAAATGAAAAATAAATACTTAATAGTTAAAAAAAAATATATTATTTTTTTATAAATGCATTATGGGCTGACGTTAATTAAAACAACTTTAAATTACGCAATGGTTACTAAGCAAAACTACATATAATATTATTTCAGTTTGCGCAAAACCTCATTAGGAACGTCGCGACGGTCTTTTTAAATTAAGGATTCTGCTTGCCCTTTAAACGCTACAATTATGTAAATATATTGCTAATTTATTGTTATGTATTTCAAAAGATCATCTGATATTACTCGATCTTAGTAGTTCCTAATAAATAGGCCGATGACCTCGTCCGAAACTACAGCGTGTTGAAAATCATGAAATCGAAAATTTAACTTAGCGTTTCAGATTTTAATTCTCAATTATTTTTCTTAGGTACATAGTTGAGTTTGAGGTGATACCTTCCCCACTTTTTGGTCTCAAGAATGTTGTGTGAAAGGATGCTGTATATCTCCTCTCTTTGTCTAACCGATTTGCTTTAACTTCAGTATTAACATTAAATTATTTGGAAATAGCATTTATCTTTGCCAATGCTAAAAAGTAATACATTACACAGATTGAATGTAAGAATCTCTTAACCCACAGACAGCCCACTGAGTTTTTCGCCGGATCACCTCAGTGGGTCCCGTTTCGGATCCGGTGGTAGATTCTGCGAAGTACGACTCTTGCTAGAGTTCGTGTTAGCAACGTCGTCAGGTTTGAGCCCCGTGAGATCACCTACTAGGGTTACGTTGATATAGGCTCAAGGCTCTCAGCATAGGTTGGGAAAAAAAAGGGATCTCAAGGCATCAGTGATTGTGCTCGAATTTCGATCACTGGACAAACACTAGTATGTAAACTTGTAATATCCATCGACCGAACGACATGTTAGCGTTATGTGTGTTACGCGTTACGATAATACTATTTTGATAACAATAATCACAATCGTACGCTTATCTCGTGGATTATTTGAGCTTTGGGATTTGTTATATTTTTTTTTTTTAAATGTTTTTACAAATAATCCAAACGTCCGTAAAACTAAATTGATACCAATTCCACGGTGAAGGAATAACATCGTGTAATAAAAATCAAACCCGCAAAATTATAATTTGCGTAGTTACTGGTGATCTCCCTATCTCTGCCGTGAAGCAGTAATGTGTTTCGGTTTGAAGGGTGGGGCAGCCGCTGTAACTATACTGAGACCTTAGAACTTATATCTCAAGGTGGGTGGCGCATTTACGTTGTATATGTCTATGGGCTTCAGTAACCACTTAACACCAGGTGGGCTGTGAGCTCGTCCACCGATCTAAGCAATAAAAATAAAAACCGTAACAACGAATATTTCCCGAGCTTGTTGTTTTGGCGGGTCTAGTTTCGGCGGGAAATCGAGAATTTCCGAGTTCAATTTGATACGTGATCAATACTATTAATTTGCTTTTTAATCAAATCAATTAATAAGACATTTACGATTCAGATTTAGAACGAAAAAAAAATGAACAACGGATATTTAGAGTTGACGAGTTCTATGCCGAATTAATGCCGATAATGACATTGACATTAGTTGTTTTAAATGTCAGTTGGAATAATGCACTAAGCTTGTAGAGCTTGTATTGTACGTTGTAGATGTCTATGGGCTCCAGTAACCACTTAACACTAGTTGGGCTGTGAGCTCGGCCACCCATCTAGGCAATAAAAAAAGAGCAGTACGTCAGACTTCTGGGTAGCAGAGAGCAAGTTTTTTTTATTGACTTCGAAGGCATACAGACCTCCTCGTGGTGAGTGATCAACCTTGTTTGAAGAATATCATAGCATTTAGAATAGACCGTAGAATACCAACGTAGCTCACTGAAAAATGGTGTTTGATACCACTTTAGGAGTGCAGTAGTACGACTGAAGTCTGCTGCGATCGGCAGAATGGTAAAAAGATATGACTGGATCAACTCAAGCTGCTACTCATCAGGGCACTCCTCATGCATCATATGTTATTCAACCGGCGGAAAATGTGCCTCATAGCCAGCACACGACGTGACCACTTTCATCTAAATGATCTATTTGTGATCACCTGCATAGCGTTGATGCTATATCCTTTGGATTCATTATCACAAATGGAAGTAGGTAGTAGTAGGTAGTAGTAGGTAGTAGGTAGTCATTCAGTAGGTAAGCAGCAGGATCAGTATTGAAACGTTATTAACTAAGACAATAATTAAAAAGCACACGTTACCACACGAACTCACCCGTAAATAGCGTCTTTGTCTCTCTTGTGGACTAGTGGTTCCCCGGGGAGGGCGTGAGCGGGTGCTGCCGGCGGGGGGTAGTGCACTGGAGCCAGGTGGGGATGGGTCAGCCTGTGCTCGTGGTACATCGCTCCCCCCTCCATGTAACCTCCGCCGTGGAGGCTCTCGTCGTACTGGAATGAAAACAATTAATTATTACTCTGATTATTTTTTCCCTACCTAAGCTGATGGTCTGGACAACTTCAGCGTAACCTTAACTAGTAGTAGTAGACGTTGCTAACAGTAACCCTAGGAAGAGCAGGGTTTCGCAGAATCTACCATCCAATCGGAAACGCGACCCACTGAGAAGATCCGGCGAGAAACTCAGTGGGATGTATCTATGGGTTAATTTACTCGCCGAGCCCTTCGTCGCAAGCGACTGACTCGACGAGAACGATGACCGGTACTCTGATTACTGTAGGCGATGGAAATGATAGCAGTTCAGGGGGTATAGAGACTGCTGAATGTCCCGCGGAACCAATATCCTGATAAGGATTCACTTTTAATATTTTTAGTTACACTCACACACACACTCGTGCTCCGACACGCACACAGAGGGTACACTAATACACTCATTTTAATAATTTCGTTAATTGTAATACTTTAAGCTCAAATTATATTGTCAATTTTCAACAGTTCAAGCGCAGATGCAAATTATGATTGTGTTTCTACTTATATGCTAACAATAAATAAAAAATTTAAAAAAAATCTGATATGAAAATCTAAGTTAATGACACCCTTATTGTTTTCGTGTAAAGGGTTTCAAATCTGAACAATGCTCGATTGATGGAAACGTGATGTTAGTGCAAGATATTCGTGTTACCATGGACTACACACACAAACGCGTCAACATTAGAGAGAGACAGAGAAGTTCTTTATTGTACAAAAAATGAATAAACAATGCGAAATATTATATCCAAAAAAAAAAAGAAGTCGCAAAATTCAAAATCAAATTCATATCAAATCAAAAAAATTTGATTCAACATAAATGAAAGTACATACTTGTTGAACGTCAAAAAGAACTACCGCCAATTCACAAGAACTAGCCTCCGTCCTGAGAAGAACTGGCGAGAAACTCAGCGGGCATTTTTTTTTAAATATTAGTTTTTTTTTTAATAGTCATTTTTACAATGAGTATTATAACGTAACAATTATTGCAATATTGATCTCCTTATCTTACTTATGACTGGACCGCCTCAAATAAATGAATATTAGGGGACCGTCTCCGAATCGGTGGAATGAACCTTCGGACTGAACGCAGAGGTCAGACGTTGGCGAGTGGGCGCTTAGAAAGCCGTGGTCCGACCACAAATAATGTTATCTGTTCATCTTATGCCAACGTGCGGTGTTAAATAAAAATATACCTAATGTATCTTTTAACGTTTTTTTTATCTATGCCTTATGAAACCGATTGCAATGAAATTTAATACTTTTTTTTTTGTTGCTTAGATGGGTGGACGAGCTCACAGTCCACGTGGTGTTAAGTAATTACTGGAGCCACATCTACGATGTAAATGCGCCACCCACCTTGAGATATAGGTTCTAAGGTCTCAAGTATAGTTACAACGGCTGCCTCACCCTTCAAACCGAAACGCATTACTGCTTCACGGCAGAAATAGGCAGGGTGGTGGTACCTACCCGTGCTAACTCACAAGACGTCCCAGCACCAGTAAAACCGGGCTTCATTAGGTATTTAAAACACAAATATATAATTAGTAATGTTAGCGCAAACGAATTGCTAACGGCTCTATACATTAACTATACCAATTTTTTATTTATTTTAACATCCAATTAGCGGATTATTTAAGATATTCGATCGAGATATGACACCATTGATTTACTTAGTCCCAACACTAAAATGACAATTTAATTCTATATCCGAATTAGCTCTCAATGACGTCATAGATTGTATTGAATATACGTAAAGATACTAACAGTGAATCGCATTAAAACATTCCTCCAACGTATTCAAATGTAGGTGTGGCAGATTATTATAAGTTTTCAAATCGATTAAAACAAAGATTAAAACAGTAACGAATGATCACGAAACCCTTTGCGTGCCCAAAAAAAAAAAAACGTATCCACAGTAAAAGTGCTCTAATGACCGGGTGTCTATCGTGAAGGAAACGCATAGTCACTCTAGTTGATGGACCTCGACAAAATGGCCGCGATATTAATATTACCGAACATTATAGCTTCATTTTAAACGAACACTGATTTACATGGCCTACGCACCAACGACATTACAATACTGGTAGCAGGACCTCTTGTGAGTTCGCGCGGGTAGGTACTACCACCCTGCCTATTTCTGCCGTGAAGCAGTAATGCGTTTCGGTTTGAAGGGTGCGGTAGCCGTTGTAACTATGTTTGAGACCTAAGGACTTTTATCTCAAGGTGGGTGGCGGCATTTACATTGTAGATGTCTATGGGCTCCGGTAACCACTTAACACAAGGTTTGTGAGCTCGTCCGCCCATCTAAGCAATAAAATAAATAAATAAAACATACAAATCGATTAAGTAGTGGTCCCTATGCGTGAATTAAATTTAAAATAATGTTACTGAAACCCGGTTGTGTTCTTTTCTTTTTTTCTTTTCCTACCTATGTTGATAACCTTGAGAGACTATTTCAGTTTCACCCTAACATGTAGGTGAGCTCACGGGGCTCAAACCGGAGTGTTGCTCTGGCCCTAGCAAGAGCAGTGCTTCGCAGAATCTACCACCGGATCGGAAACGCGACCCACTGAGAAGATCCGGCGAGAAACTCAGTGGGCTGTGTCTGAGGGTAATTCTTTTGTAAGTCTCGCTAGTTATATGAAAATGTTTCCGCGATTTTAATTCAGTACAAATGACATGAAACAGAGAATATCTATACTTTTTTTAATATTATAAAACTGAAGAGTTTGTTTGTTTGAACGCGCTAATCTCAGGAACCGATTTGAATAATTATTTCAGTGTTAGATAGCCCATTTATCGAGGAAGGCTTTATAGGCTATATGACATCACAATGCAAGCGGAACACCAATAAATAATGTTTCAAAATCGGGTTTTCTTTCCCATTTGAGAGCTTCCGCTGCGTGCACTGCAGAAACGGTTAAAGTTTCGCTAAAATAATGTATGACAGAATTGTTCCCCTTTAAAAGATCTAAAAAAAGTCCGCGACAGCATACGTCTATATGTTAAGGTTGGCACACTATAACGTCTTATATGCTAACCAAATTTGTTCTAAAATAAAGCATTATTTGTGAACTATTCGACGCGGACGAAGTCGCGGGCAAAAGCTAGTCATTGATATGCGATCATTTCACTGTCGTCAAGGTAAACACGTTAAGTAACGTTTACAAAGTGCCTGTTCACAATTACTTCTGTTTACAATTAGCCCGGTTAACCCTATTAATACCGCTCATATTTAAATAACCGAAGAACGAAATTCACTTAAACAATTTATATTCGTATGTCTTTAGGTATTTGTGTTTATTCAGTTTAATATGATTCACAATCTATTTTAGCCTAAATCACGGTAAATATTCAACTAAAATGTCTAGTTTTGCTCAGTCTTCTTCTTCTTTGTCGTTTCCTCATTACTGAGGGTCGTGACCACCTTGGTCCTGTTTTTGCACCAGCTTCCTCCAATGTTGCCTGCATTCGGCCTGCTTAATGAGCCGTTTTGCTCAGTAGGTACTTACATTATCCACTATTACGAAAACAAAGTTTTGTTAAAGAATAAATTTTAGAGAAAATTAAAAAAGTCTATTACAGAATCGGTATTGCGATTACACTTGAATTACTAATTAAAATAGAGAGAATAATGGAAAAAGATAAGTCTCTTTTTTTCGTAATCAAAGCTTATCTATCGGGTCCTTAAGTGAACTCATAGAACATCTTTGGAAAAAGTATTGGAAAGTTATTCTGTTGTTATATTATATAAGAAAACAAACCAACAAAATCGTTCCTCGAATTTACGATATCGATATAATTTAGCTGCTTATATATATTTAAAAATAATAAAACTGAACCCAGTAATCCGTAACTTAAGCCCAGATGGCGAAATACATGGAATTATAAACGAAAATGGCTATTTTCTCCTTCAACAATTCATTAGTTAAATCGTTTCTATTTGGTATTAAAGATTGACAGTCATTTTTTTATTTTATTCTAACTCGTGAATTTTTAACAACAAAAAAACTCCCATAAATTATGCACAACGAAGTTGGATAAATCTTTTTGTTATTCTTATCTTTGATATCGAGGTAAACAAAACTGAATTATGAAGTCGAAAATAAAAACATATATAATACCCAACCCATATGTATGTAAATTCGGTAGAATTTTTATTCTTTATCTAATACAGACATTTTGTGCTTATGAATAAACATAAGAGTTATTGTTTCGACGTATTTACGCATTCATAGAGGTTACATGAATTCACAACTTCAAATTGAGCTACAGTTCTCATTTCATTTCTATTCGATTATAGTTCTACTTTGATTGGTCAGTTTTAAGTTCAAAGCTTAAACATTTTCGGGTATTGTTTTTGTAAATACGTTGTTTTTATTTCCAATGGCATTCCTAAGTGCCGCAATTAAATGTGTGTCATTTTTAACGGCCGTCTGGTGTAGTGGTAAGTGACATGGTCACTACACAAGGGGGTCGCGGGTTCGAATCCCGCCAAGGGAAGATATTTGTATGATAAATATAAATGTCTTTTCCAGGGTTATGGATGTATATTAAATATATGTATGTGTATAATAAAAATCTTACATTTATTTCCGTTATCCGGTACCTGTAACACAAGTTCTTTACGAACTTATCACGGGAACAGTTAACGTGGCGTGATTGTTAGTAAATATTTATTTATTTATTTAAGTACTAAAATCTACAATTTAATGTACTAGAAAACTTTGGAAGCAACTAACCTAAAATGTATAATGAAACTTCGATCGGCCATTGTGTAAACACTATCACACACGAAAACCGGCAAGATGGCCCGTCATATTTTAAAAAATATTCTAATCTGCTTAAAAGCCAAGGAACACGTTTTTAAAAGCCTAACCTTAATTGACTCTCCGTGTTGATGGCAGATATCCATCGTACAATGACTTAACTATTTTTAATGAATATTCAATGGGCATTATAT